ACTTACCTGCTGTCCTACCTCTCTGGACCCTGTATTTTGAACTGTAAATGATATATTAGTTATATCCTAAATAAGAGTTTCTGACTATGTCTGACTCTAGTATTTACATTAAGCAAATGGGAAGAAATAAAAAATACTAACAGTGCAGGAGAAGTAGTACACTGGTGAACAGGCTTGCCTTGCATAGGACAGCCCTGGTTCAACCCCCAGCACTGCACTATGCTCCCTCAAACCCCTCCAGGTGCAATGCGCCCCGCCAGAGCAGCGAGTCCAAGGAATAGCTCCCAGCACTGCCAACTGAGCACTGGCCTATCTGGCTGAGTATGGCTGGAGGTGGCCTTTGGACCCCTTGGACACTCTTGAGAAGGTCCAAAATTAAAAAAAAAAAAAAAGAAGGAATCAAGTCTTTTGATACTGATCCTTATTCACACATATTTTTGGCAGGTGGTCTCTCTGGTGTAAAACATAAAACTAATTTTTTCTAGAACAACAATAACAGAATCCAAACACCAGACAATTACTGCATCCATCAAACATGATGAACCTACTTTCAGCTGTGGATTACTTAGTGGCAGGGGAGAAAATTCTGTAATCGAGGACATTATTTTGGTTCTCTTGCCCATATGTCAAATTTAATTTTGATAGCTATCCAGGGCGGAAGTTTAGTTTTCTGTGCCACTTTTATCCTGACATTATCTCTAACTCCTCTTGAAACATTTCAACTACTTCAAAAACTCTTCATTCAAGTACTCATTAAAACAAAATTAGAAGAATGTCATAGTAGTCTCCAAGGGCAAAAAAAAAATTGCTAACCTTTGTTGTCTGCACTGGGAAAGTTAAGTATTTTCTGGGTTTATTCGTCTTTGCTTTTTTGGGGTATTCTTGGGGATCACACCTGACTGTGCTTAGGGTTTAGGGAGCAGGAGGACCATAGTTGGTGCTGGGATGAGCTGACTGTGAGCAAGGCAACTTACTAACCCCTGTACTACTTCTCCAGCCCTAATTTGTTTTCTAAATGAACTCACCAAATCTGCTTCTTTTTATTTTGTTTTATTTTATTTTCTTTTGTTTAAAACAACAACAATAATAACAAAACAAAGCTCATCTTTATGAAGTTTCATCGGACTCAGCCATAAAAATAACTTTCCATAATGTCCCTGGCTGCTTTCATGGGATAGCTCATCAGAAATAAGTAGCTATGACAAAGACCGTACAGCCTGCAAAGCTGAAAATATTAACTGGCTTTTTACTGAAAAAGTTGCTGACAACTCACCTAAATTGTCATGGAAAAAAGCAGTATCATCATAGTTTTTATGTCTGCAATTAAGATGTTGACCCACAATAGTGCTTAGTAGCACAAAATTATATTAGAGTACTCTATCATTGTTCTGAGGAATTCTTGAAATTGTATTTAAGTTTATTAGTTTTTCTGCAGGAAATAAGTAATTTAAATTTAAGTATTTTTGAAAGACATTGACCTTACAAATCCTACATAGTGATGCAGAATCCACTGTTATTTCTATGCTTATTAGTTATATTTTTGCTATGTAACCTGTATTTATAGGAGACGAAACAAATATTAACATATTAACAAAGAGGAAAGTATATAAACTGCCAGAAACTTAAACAAGATTAGAAAAATAGTATAAGTGATTGTTTTCAGAAAGTAAAAGAGAGTAGAGGCTAGAGCGTTAACACTGTGGGTAAGGTGCTTAGCTTGCATGTGGCCAACTTGGGTTCATTCCCTGGCACCCCATATGGTCCCCTGGCCCCTCAAGGAGTGATCTTTGAGTGCAGAGCCAGGAGTAAGCCTGAGCACCACCAGGTGTGCCCCCCAAACCAACCAAACAAAAACAAAAAGATTACATTGTGTCATTTTTCCAGTCATGACTTGTTGGTATGTTTTTTGGTTTTTGGGCTACACTTGGCAATGCTCAGGGGAGAAGCGGCATGTCAGGGATCGAAACCAGGTCAGCCAGTAGAAGGCAAGTACCCCTTCTGCTGCACTATCTCTCTGGTCCCACATGACTGGTTAGAATATAGATTTCCCCCACTATATACCAACGTCTAATGTTCTTACTTGGTAGGCTGCTTTTTGAGTTTGGTAATTCTTAAAATAGTTTCCCACATGCACTAATGGTAATTGAGTGTTCCCAGAACCAAAAAAAAACTATCAAACAGGGCCATTTTACTTTTGGATGGTCTTGGGGAGAAATAGTACATGGAGTCAGGACGGGTAATTAAATCAGGAAATCCGCTCTTACAGAGTCGGATGGCAGTATCTGTATCAACATGCTCCCCAAATTACATACCATCCAGGAAGGAAGAGCTGCTTCCCCCTCAGGTGTGGTGACCCTGGCCTCAGGAACTCTGGGCAGGACTGAGAAGGGTCCTCTAACACAGATTGGAGTCCCCAGGGATAATCTTCCTATTAGTAGACTGGAAATTGGCCTTAAGTCCCTTGCTGACTGAGAATTTTAAGGGTAGGGTGTACAGATGGCAGTGCACTGGGTGCCATGGAGTGCAATGGACTAGGACTGAACCTAGGGCCCTGCACATGAGAGGCATGTCCTCGAAGACTGGGGTTATATTCCCGATCCCCTGGAACCTTCATTTCATTCCATCCTTTGATTTTTCAGCTCATACAGGGAGCTGAGGATTCACAGCCAGGAAGCTCATTCTGGAGGGGTGGGAGATGAACACTGGCTTATTTGACAGTGTCAGGTTTTGTCACTTAATATCTATATTTTGGGGGTAAGCCTGGAAGAAATCTATCTCTGCTAGAGATAGTATCTAGATGGGGTGGACAGAACAGACAATGGCTTTAGATTTTCACCAATTCTATTGTATTCTAATGAGGGTTACAAGAACATAAACTGAAACAGAAACAGTAATAAAAAAAAAATTCAAAACAAATAGGACAGAGAGAAGGTACAAGACTAAGATGCCTTGCACAAAGCTGACCCTGATTTGATCCCTGATACCACAAGGCTGCCTGAACATTGACAGACTGAGCACATGGCCAGGAGTAGCCTGGACACTTCCGGAAGTGGCCCATGGCACCTCACACTCCCCACCCAACCACCACCACCACCACCACCACCACCACCACCACCACCATTACAATAATAACAAAACAATTGCGAATTGAGGAAAAAGAATGGAAAAGTTGCATTTGACACAGACATGGGAGTAGACTATAAGAAAAGTGCATTTTTCCACCCTGGAGATTGGCCCAGATCTTGACCTGAGATGTATACTCTTGGTTTTTGCTTTCTGGAGAAGCCTGTGTTTTCTCTTAAACCCATTTCTCTCTTTCCTCTGACATTTATCTAAATAAAACTACTGTATTTCACTAATACATTGACTTTATATTCTAAATAAGAATATTTCAAAAATAATTTGATATTTTACATCTTACTTGCAACAAATACTATCTTACACAATGAAAATTTTATTACTAGCTGTGAAAAAGCTTCCTTCTGTTTTTATAAATTTAGTAATTTATGTTTTCACATTTATTGGCCTACCAACAGAAAAAAAATTAAATTTAAATTTCAAGATGTTCTAACATATAAAACAAAAGTAGTTATTAAGCTATGCAGGCATCTCCTGTCCCCCACATACTGACAACACTGTTCTTGAGAGACGGGGAAGCCTGGTCTGATGCTTACTTCAGTGGCTCCAAAATGAATACAGCTAGCTAACGTGAGAATGAGAAAATCTGGAACCAATCCAATGTTACAGAATGAAGCCTTCAGCATTTGGGGCACCTAATTATTTTGATGATAGGTGTTTTAGCCTTGATCACATGGCTTACAGCTATCAGTCTGTTTCTTAGGAGAATACGTAGCACCGCATGCAATGAATCTTAAAACCCATGCCATAAATATGCAAACACATGGCATCAGTTAAATAATGGTATTTAAAAAGTGGTAGTTAAAAAGAGCTTCATTCCTTTAAAAGATAATTTGGATAAAAAATAATGCAAGACAGTCAATATAAGATTTTTGATATGCAATACTACAAAATTTTATATTTTACTTTTTTCCTTCTGCAGAATTGCCTCTTTATTTTTTTATTTTAGAACTACCTCTTTAAAAAAAATGAACTGAGTTATTTTATTATCTTTGGGGATTAATCTGGAATTGTTTCCTTTTATTATCACAGCCATTCTTAAACCCTAATGTTTTTTTCTTCTGGGCATAAAACTTTAATCTAGACTGTATAGTCTGGCTAGTTCCAAAAACTTTTCTAGAATAGAACTCTTGAAATTCAGCCTATACTTTAAAGAATTTTGTTTTACTGTCTTTGGTATATGCTATATTCCTATCTGCTACTTGAAGACAAAACTGTTCTGCAACTATAGTACACCTGGCAAAACTCCAAAGTTTAAGCTGGAATGACCTGTATGGTGAGTTTCTGCTTTTTGTACTTGATCATTTTAAGCAGGTTTTTAAAGACCAATCCTTGGTCAATGACATGCCTGAGAGAGTAACAGACATTCTTTTTCTGTTGTGTTTTTGGGTCACACCCAGTGGTGCTCAAGGGCTGCTCCTGGCAGTACTTGGACGACCATGAGGTACCAGAGCCAAACTCAGACCTCCTGAATGGAAAATAAGGACTCCAGTTCTTTAAGCCATCCTAGACTCTGAAGGACATTCTTAAAGGCTTTTCCACCTTCCTTTAAAGGTAAAGGCCCTCCCGTTGATCGTCGATTTGCTCGAGCGGGCCCAGTAACGTCTCCATTGGAGACTTTGTTGCTACTGTGTTTGGCATATCGAATAATGGGGCTGGAGTGATAGTGCAGTTGAGTAGGGTGTTTGCCTTGCCCATGACTGACCTGCAGTTCAAATTGCAGTGTCCCATATGGTTCCCCAATCACTGCTATGAGTGGGATCCCTGAACCTTTTGAAGACCCAGAAGTCCTAGGCTTAAGTATGCCCTCAACACCCCTTCCTCATCTTCCTCTTCCCCCCAAAATGACAACACTATCTTACCATAGAGGCAGACCGACTGCTTGTAACAAGGCCTGATCCGCCATAGTTTGAATTGAGGCTTCCAATTGATGCATTATGGGATGGTCCCAATAAACTGTGTATATCACTGTGACCAGTAGGCAAACTGGTGGAAGGTCCCACAGCATGGTTCCGCAGCACATGGATAGCATCATCCAATCTGTCTAAACGGTCTTCCATTCGAGACTGCTGCAAGAATTGAAAAAAAGATACGGGTCACTGCTGGCATCTGTTAAATTCAATCATTTCAACTGCTCTTGCCTATCTGGGGATATATGGAAGTGAAGAGCACTATCAAGCTATCTTCAAATGCAACAACCTGCCCTAAGAATCAGTAAAGGATATGTGCAGACTACGGTAAACCAACAAAGATTCAAATATAATCACTGTTTTATAAAATTGATCTACCAACCAACCAAGGTTATTTCTTTTCAGTTTCTAGAAAGATGAGCACTCTACTGTGTTCATTACTCAATTACAGTTAATAAAAAGATAACCTGTACTATAACACTTATTTTTAACATGATGGTAATTTAGGGAAGGGGTGCCCAAATCCACCAAGCTTAAGATGCAACTATGTTTTAAATAAATAAAGCACATCTACCTATCTGAAAAGGTGAAAACATACAGATATGCTCTTTCACAGAATTGCGGTAACGGTATTTTTGTCTGTGGATATACATAAACCTTACACACAAACATATTAGATTTTTAAAAATCAAAAGCACATGCCAGCAAAGCTTTTAAAAGACAGTCATTCTCAACAACAGAAGAGAAAAGTCTATTCTTACATAAGGCTATAAAAACTGAAATGGTCACTGATAAGACTTTGGAGTCTGTACAGGCTTAATGATTTTAAAAGGATAATAGAAAGTATAATTGATTGAAACACAAAAAGGCACCATCTAAAAGAAATAGTACCTCACAGACATCCTTTAAGAAGGACATTGCATCTTGCAAATGCTCGTGAAGTTGCTGCTCAACTCGATTTTTCTGGCAAAGTCAAGACAGAACAGGAGGCAAAGCACAGGTTAAGATTAACTCCAAAAGAGATGAGGAATAGCTGACGTGCATGTCAGCAAATATGTTAGTAAAGTTAGTGCAGAGACCAGGGGGATCTGGTTGTATTAAGGTCCAAGAAGGCTGGGGCTTAACAACAGCACAGTCACGGGGTTAGCATGGACAGCACACAGTTGCTTATATTTGCTTGCAAAACGTGAGAAGAAAACTTTAATTCAAAATGTTCTGTTAGTCACAGAAAAAGAACTTTTTCCTACTTGCAACCTGAATTTACTGAGTAATAAGCATGACAGCATTTCATCAGATCATCCGATTTCGTTTTTACAGTACTTTTTGATTCTGTGACAACCATAGAAAATCAATAGCATTTAACACTAGAAAGACTCCTTTATTCTATTTCCTTATTTGTTAGAAAAAAATTTTTGTTTGTTCAAGTTGCACCACACATTTTTTTTATTAGAAAGCCTAGAAAGTAACACTTCACAACAAAGAACTGATACTACAGCTTACATTTAAATCAAGATATAATAAAGTATGTCTAGTATCAGTAAGTTTTTTGGTTTTATTTGCTTGTGTTTACATTTTATCTTATATATAAACAAATATATTAGCCTTAGACTTGAAAGAAACAAAATCCCATACCACTATTTTGATACCAGCTGTTCTGAGACTAGAAGCCTGATGTGGAAAGGAACATATGGCTATCGCCACACCCAATGCATCTTGTAAACTACGTCAGGCCACATGTTTCCAAAAATTTCTGTGTAATACTATCCTAGTGTTTTTTCGCACTGTTATGCAAGACTTACTAAAACAACAACAACAAAATTCAAACTATAAAATGCCCAACTCCAAACTTATCAGCTATGGTGATCTGTATGTTCTGAACAGCTTTCTTACCAGGGAGTGGAGTGAGTTTTCATAGCTGGGGGATGAAGGAGCTTGCCCGCTAGGTCTGGGCCACTGACTGGTACCTGTAAAACAAAATCCAAAAGCACCCACATACCTTAATTCAGAGATCTTATTAATGTTCTGAAGGGTAAATCAATACATATATTTTATGTGAAATATATATATTTCATAAGTATATATATATTTATAAGGCTTTCAGCTAAGACGAAGAATGTCAGTTTATTTTTTATTTACTCATATTCTGTTTTGTCTGGGCCACACCCTGCGGTGTTCGGGGCTTTCTCCTGGCTCTTCACTCAGGGATCACTCCCCAAAGTGCTCGGGTGGAGAATGAACTCAGGTCAGCCATGTGCAAGGCAAGCACCTTAATCCATGTCCTATCTCTACAGCCTAATGGGAAAAATCTTTTTAGGTCCAGGAATGTGACCCAGTAAACTTATATTTTACTTGCACACATGAAACTCAGGATTCATTCCCCAGAACTCCCAAAAGAAAAAAAAAATCTTCGACAGGGTTGGGGAGATGGCTCAGGAAGGGGAGCAGAGAATGAGGCCTGACTCTGGTCTCTGTACTGCCTGGTCCCTTAAGCGCTGGGGGCTTCAACACCTGTGGTCCTGGACCTCCCCCCGTAGTGCCCCTATAAAAATAAATCCTTTTCGCTACGGAAACAACAGGACAGGTAACAGAGAAAGCAACCACTTTCATGTTCGTATAATTCTCCTGACTTCTGTCCACATGTAGACATACCTTGAGAAAATGTTCCTGAAACACACATAAATTCTATTCCCCATTTCTGACATAGTTCTAAAGATAATGCTATTAAGATGACATTAATAACAATAGTAATCTGACGCACAATTTATTTGACCACCACTATCTCAGCACTAGTCGTTATTTATGAATAGTATTTAAATAGTAATTAAACATTACCATACTGTAGCACTGTAGCACTGTCCTCCCATTGTTCATCGATTTGCTCGAGCAGGCACCAGTAACATCTCACAACAAATTGTGAGACTTGTTGTTACTGTGTTTGGCATATCAAATATGTCACGGGGAGCTTGCCAGGCTTTGCCGTGCGGGCGAGATACTCTTGGTAGCTTGCCGGGCTCTCCGAGAGGGGCGGAGGAATTGAACTCAGGTCGGCCATGTTGGCTCTATGCAAGGCAAACGCCCTACCCGCTGAATATTAAGTATCATTTGTGCCTTACAAGGCCATTTAATCAATCATGAAAAATATGTGGAATGACTCATTTTATAAAACTCTAGTTTTTTTTGATTATGGGATGTACAGCCCCCCACCTACCCACCCCCCATAGCAGAATTATCATCAAGTCAATGAAAGAAAAATAATATTTAGAATTCTGCATTTTGGCTTAGTGATGCCCTCTTTTTGGTTACTTTTGTGGTCCCACTTCTGAAGTGATGTTTGGGAGACTATGTAGATGCTAGGGATCAAACTAGGAGTTCCTGCACGCAAAGCAAGTGCTCTAACACTCGGAGATGACTCTCCAGTCCCAGGAATAAGATCTTTGTGGCGGGAGAACAGAATGTAAATTATGAACACAGACCAAAATGCTAGCATACCTCTGAAACAAGACAGATTTGCAGCTTTATCTATCTGTAACATCAGTGTATAAACAAAATACATAGATTACATTTGGAATCATACTGGCAACTATTTTACATGATCTGTATTATTATTACAAAATGTGAGAGAACAGAAGTGCAAGGAATGAAAACCCCAATGCTTTTCCAATTAGGTTATTTCCACCCTTTCTTCTCCATCACTGGGCAGCTGGTAAGGTTTATACTTGTCCCATTAGGTAGGTGAAAGCTTTCAACCATTTATATAGGAAACATTTTCTGTAATTGTCATTCCTGGATTTTCTACCAATACCCCTGAGAAGTCCGCTCTTATTCAAATTTATAGAAATCAGCCTGCTGGGTGACAAAATTTGGCTAGAAATTTGGAAAGGCTTTCCGTGTTTACATTTCTGCTTGCTTTCACTCTGAGTGAAACTTAGTAAGTAAACCTTATAAATCTGGTTAATAAGCTTAAGAGAATAGGTACCAACATTTTGTGTGGTCGAAGAATCAAGCAACTATTGCAAACATTCACTGTGCAATTTTTGTTGTTGTTGTTTTTTTTGGGTCACACTTGGTGATGCTCAAGGGTTACTCCTGGCTCTGCACTCAGGTGACCACATGGGATACTGGGGACCGAACCTGGGTCAGCTGTGTGCTAAGCAAATGCCTTACAGCAAATGCTTATTACTATGGCTCCACCCTCCCACTGTGCATTTTCTTATCATGCCGCTAGTTTGCCTCTGTGATCTCATCCCATGCTCAGCACTTTTTAGGACTCCCTGCTGGGGAAAAGCTGGCTGGTATGTATTTTTTTAAATTACAGAGGAAACATGGTTTACAAGAGTGTTACGATTTAGGCTTCAGGAACAGAATGTGACTGTGACTAGCCACCACAGAAGTGGCAAGACCCCTCTACTGCTCCTGGCAACTTCAGCCCATAGCAGAGTCTGAGGGTTTTGTTTCATTGGCCATCATCTATTTGACTGCCTTATTATTCCTTTTTTTAAAAAAAAAATATATATACCACAGTATTTCTATTTTTTTCTGATTTAATTTACTTAAGATGATATCCTTCAGATCTAAGTTCGGATAATTCTTAAGCATGATGCTTTGCATTCCACAATCTGGTCTCAGTCAGTCTTGCTACCTTACCTTAGCGTTTTACATCCCACATATGAAGAGTTCATGATTAGTCGCTCAATGCCATTGAACAGGTCACATGCAACTTTTTATACTTTTCCCTTTTATCCACGAAGCTCTTATTCTTTCTTTTAAAGATCCTACTCCTTCCACAAAATCTACTGTGAGCATTCCTGTTTAGAGTAAACTCTGGTGGTTTTACTCTCATGTTTATTATTTTCTCAACTCAAAATCTTTCTGAAATAACTGCCTTAAAATGAGGCACACTGTCAGACAATGAATGTTCTTATTTTTACCCCAATGCTGTCAGAGACCTTTACCCTTCATTCTCTTTACCTTGCTTCCATAGCCCTGATTTTATTCTGAGAAGGAGGGTCCATCCAAGGAAAGAAACAGTCTACTTCTTGGTGTGCACCAAGGAAAGAAACATTCTATTCTTAGCTCTTGGAATGTATCCTGGCATCTAAGATAAACACGTGGTCCCAATTTGATATGAATACATGCAATATTTAGAAGGGAAAATGCTGATGAGACTTCTTAAAAGATTCTTGAAATGAGGAAAAGATGGCACTGTTTTCTGTTGAATACTATGATGTCAACATTGGGAACCTTCGACTACTGCCACAATATAGAAACATGGTTGGGTGGCAGAGTGACTGTACAGTGGGTAAGGCATTTGCCTTGCATGCGGCAGGCCAGGATTCCATCAGACACTCCAGTTGTCTCTTGAGCCCACCAGGAGTGATCCCTGAGTGCAGAGTCTGAAGTAGGGTCTGAATACCACCAGGTGCAGCCCCCAAACAAAAACAAAAACAAAAACAAAAATTAAAAACAAAAACAAAACAAAAACCCCCACAACTGTCCATTAATGTGCCATGCTATGGACTTTTTGTTACTTATACAAGACAACCAATCCTTCCTATTCTTTGAGCAGATCAAGACAAAATCATTTTCTTTCAGTCAAAAGTATTCTGATACTGGCATGAGCCGGGGGAGCGGGAGCGACTAAAACCTCATGGGAAGGGGGGCGTTCCGGTCCGTCCTTCACGCCCTACCGAGGTCACCAGTTGCCCCCCACGAACGGCTCTCCAGCACGGCCACAGCCCCAGAAGCACAAGGACTTAATGCAGAATCCAGCAGCTTGGAGCAGAAAAGTGAAAGGACTATGCGTTAATCCAGGCCATCATGTCTGCCCGGAGGGGAAAGTGTGTTGGTCCCTTCCGCCCGCCTCCCTCTGGAAAGAAAGGTGGCGGCCACATGGGAGCCTTGTGGACAGCAGGTATGAGCCGGGGGTGTGGGGGCGACTAAAATCTCATGGGAAGGGGGGTGTTCTGGTCCGTCCTTCACGCCCTACCGAGGTCACCAGTTGCCCCCCGCGAGCGGCTCTCCAGCACGGGCACAGCCCCAGAAGCACAGGGACTTAATGCAGAACCCGGCAGCTTGGAGCAGAAAAGTGAAAGGACTATGCGTTAATCCAGGCCATCATGTCTGTCCGGAGGGGAAAGGGTGTTGCCCCAGTCGCCTTCTCCTCTCTGGAAAGAAAGATGGCGGCCGCATGGGAGCCTTGTGGACAGCAGGTATGAGCCGGGGGAGTGGGGGCGACTAAAACCTCATGGGAAGGGGGCATTTCGGTCCGCCCTTCACGCCCTACCGAGGCCACCAGTTGCCCCCCACTAGCGGCTCTCCAGCACGGCCACGACTCCAGAGCACAGAAACGAATTTCTTAACTATCTAACTTTCAGTATAAATACTTCCAGGGTCAATAAGTAAAATAGCAGAAATCCAAAACCAACATTTAATTCTTGAACCCAACTGTAGAAAACAAATCACGTCACAATGCTTTTTCAGCATGTCTGATTGGGGGGGGGGTAAACTCTAAATAATAGTGGTGAATCTTTTATTGAAACAATGAATCTAATCAAAGCAGATAGAGTGTTAACTAGAATTCATCTGCCCCACAGGGACTGGGAGGGGTGGGGGGTGGGGTTTTATTGGGGTTCTTCATGGTAAAAAAAAAAGCATTGGTAAAGGGAAATGTGTTTGATATTTGCATGACTGAGACCTAAACCTGAAAGCTTTGTAACCTTTCCCAAGGTGATTCAAAAAAAAAAAAAAAGTATTCTGATACAGAGCCAGAGAGAGCCAGAGAGAGAGAGAGCGAGAGAGTGAGCGAGCGAGAGAGTACATTGGGTTAATGTACTTGCTTTGCAAACACAGCAAACCCCAGGTCTATCCCCAGTACCACGTAAGTTCCCCCCCAACACCACCAAGAGTGATCCCTGAGCACAGAGCTAGGAGTAAGCCCTGTGTATATCTAGATGTACTCACAGAAGAACGCCCCCCCCCCCCCCCCCAAAGCATCCTTATCCAATACTGGCATCTCAGAAGCTTTCGTGTATGTAAACCTAGGTAGAACTGTACATTTTTGATTGAAATTTCCCCAAGGAATGAGTTGGATTTGAACAAGAAGGACAACTGCTTCTGAGGGGGTTTAGGCAGCTCTGCACCTGTGGAGTCTGAGGTGCAGACTCAAGGAAGCAGGCAAATGAGGTGACACAGCGAACAGGACAGTGGCACCAAGTACCAGGCCACTGCCACGAAGGCATGGGATCCTCTCCACAAACTGTGAAGGAGTCTGATGCACGATGTGTATCATTTCCCCTTATCTGTACACACTTCCTCACATGTTCCCTCTTCCTCCTTCCATTCCACCCCTGTCTACCAATCTGATGTGGGTATGAACAGAAAGATAACACTTATAGACATTTTAAAACACGATCTTTAACCAACCTTTTTATCAGGAGTTGTAATATATTTTTCTTTGGTTATGATTATTCAATTTCAAAAGTCAAATGCTATCTTTATTACACAGTTTAACAGTGAAAAGGTTTTCATTATCGGCTGAAGTAAAGGGAGAAAGAGAGATGTCTCATTAAACATTTAAAAACTATGCAGGAAAACCTATAAGGTTTTCTCCTGGACCATTACTTTACAACTCATGTCCAAGTCTGTTTCTTCATTTTACTGATGTCCCTTCATAAATACTGAGATTCTTTGCTGCTCAACTTTCTACCAAGTGCCAGTGAAAACCCAAGGACACTTTTGTAGTTGTCTCACTTACAGAGAAGCTGTTAGAATGGAAAATAAAATCCAAGGTAGACACCTGAGATGAGAAAGTGAAACACACTATGACAAAAATCACAATGATTTCAGTAAAACTGTGTCAAAGGGTGAGCAGGGCTAGTGTAGCATCCCCTTTTCTGTGATTTCAGCCTCATGTTAAACAGCAACTTTAAGTCAATGGGCCTTCCATGGTCCCACCCATGAAGGGAACAGCTGTTCAACTTTTACTAGACAGCTGAAGTCACGGTGTCTGAGAAAGCGGCAGAACCTACCAATAGCTGAAAGCACCTGCCAGCAGTTCATCACCCTCACTGGCTTCTTCAGCAGGACGACAGTGGTGACCCACAGAGCCCAGGGGACAGCGAGGGCCTGACAGCAGTTCAGAAACCCTCAACAATGCAAAAGACTGAAACAACAAACCTAACAGCTTCAGCCAAGAACACAGTATCATTTCTGGGCTGTCAGAGGACTATCAGGCAAGTTTTATTCAGTGATAGAGTCAGAGAGATAGTATGGCAGCTAAAACACTTGCCTGTACGTGGCCAAATCAATCCCAGCACTGTAGATGATCCCCTGAGCCTTACCAGGAGGAAGCCCTGAGCACAGAGTCAGAAGTAAACCCTGAGCATTCTGGGAACGATCCCCGATCCCCTGCACAATTCATAAATGAAAATCTTATTCAGTGGTCCAATGACTTTTCCTCAAAGCTAGTAGTATGTTCCTTCTTTAGCATGGTATTTTCTCCAAATACTCTTCATGAAAATATGGTTCAAGTTTTAAGATCATTGTAACAGATATAAAATATCTTCCTCTAACTTACTGCTTATAAATCCAAATATTCCCATTTATAAAGCTAACTATAGTATTTCCACAAAGTAGAGCAGTAAGAACTTATAAATGCTAATATGGAAAAAACAAAACAGGAAGAAGTAAAAGCTAGTCCAATCACTTTTTTTTTCACTCCACTAACAAAATTCATTCACAGAATTCTTTCCCTTAGCATAAAATTATGCTGAAAATTTGATTAATAACTTAATGCACCTACAATAAAAATGAAGTTGACTAGTCATCAAGTTTTCTAGTCTTGTTTATGCCATTTAAAAACTATTCTTAGAATGCATCAAATTATTTTAGAATCAAAGATTATATAAACAAATAATTTGAAACCAGCCAATTATTTCAATATTATCCAAATAAACAACAGGAAAGCTCTATTTACAAATTTCTGAAAAAACAAACAAATACACAAACAAACAAACTTTGATTATTTCTGGAATGATTTCCAAGTAGCCATGTACATGTTATTAGAAGTTATAGAAAACAAAAGTTTACCTGTGAGAGGAGAAGGTGATCCAACTGGTGTTGATGGATTTGATGGAAAACTACTGCTGGTATGGTCAGGAGAATAAATCTAAGAAGGAAACAAAAGAGGTGAAAGTGCCAATATGTGGCTACAATGAAATATGTTGTATGCACAGAATTATTTTTTATAATTTTGGCTGCTATTCCTAAGACACAGGTTGAACACTCTTTTTATTCATTTTTTTTCATTTTGGGGTCACACCTAGTGCTTCTCTGGGATTATTCCTGGCTCTGTACTCAGGAATTACTCTTGGCACTACTCGGGGGAACAAGTTGGATGCTGGAGATGGAACCTGATTTGCCACATGCAAGGCAACCACCCTATCCCCTGTACTATTGCTCTATCCCCTAGCCTGAAAATTCTTTACAGTAGAGCAGGTAGGGTGCCATGCCTTGCACAAAGTCAACTGTACTCCATACGGTGTCCCAGCACCATGAGGAGTGATCCCCGAGCACAGTCCCAGGAGTAAGCCCTGAGCAAAACTATATCATACCTATCCTACTCACAGTAAAAATGAATTGTTTCTGATTGTCAGAAGAAAAGATAAGGAATGTTGAAAGAGCAACTTAATTGTGGGTTATGGATGTAGCATGCATGTGTTGTATACTTAAGGAACCTGAGTTAGGTCCCAACTACTTTTTTGGTTAAGGTTCCACAAAACCCTAACAAATCTGATAAAGAAAAAAATCTTTTGTTTTTGTTTTTTGGGCCATACCTGGTGATGCTCAGAGCCTGCTCCTGGAAGACTTAGGAGACCATATGGGAATCTGGGGATCAAAATTGGGTTGGTGGTGTGCAAAGTAAGTGCCGTACCATCTGTACTATTGCTCTGGCCCCTGATAAAAAACAAACCCTTCTAAAATATACAATCTAAATAAAGTGATTCCTTGAAGAATAACATTTTCAAGAAATAATTAAATTATCTTTTGGAATTGTTTCTGTAGCTTGGAGTGTAATTAGAGGGAGCCTTGAAGGACATGGGCTCTGGCTAGAATGGACATGATTAAATCCAACATACCCCGCCATTTTTTAAAGCTTATTTTGAAAGCTGGCCATTGGCTAGCTATTTGTAAATATCATATAGTACATTTAATTTTCTTCTAGGAACTCCATAAGGACAAATATCACCTTCCCTGATTTAGGAAGTAGGTAAAGTAGGTGGTATCATTCCCTTTAAAGCTAAACACTGAGGCTTTCAGGAGACAGATACTTATACCAAGATCATATAGAATTTGCATTTGAACCCTGATGTGTCTAACTCAAAAGCAAATGCTCTGGTTCCTTCCATATGGGCAGTGAGTTGTCACTGCTCTTTAAGTTAGACAACCCAAAAGACCCAGTTCCTGGGAATAATGACGTTAGCCTTTCTACAGGCAATAGGAGGCATTCTGGCATTCTTTTTTCTTTTCTTTTCTTTTTTTTTTTTGCTTTTTGGGTCACACCCGGCGATGCACAGGGGTTACTCCTGGCTCATGCACTCAGGAATTACTCCTGGCGGTGCTCAGGGAACCTTATGGGATGCTGGGAATTGAACCTGGGTCAGCTGTGTGCAAGGCAAGTACCCTACCCGCTGTGCTATTGCTCCAGCCCCAGGAGGCATTCTTTTCCCCTTGTCTGATGATCTGTCTATATTGCCTATCTCTCCCTCTCTTACTTTCTATGCATTCAGCAAGCATGTACTAAACACTGTTTATTTGCAAAAAGGTCATTGGATCAATCCTGAAGTGAACAGAACTTTTGAGAAATTCAACCTCCTGTCCTTTGTCCACTAATTCTAGAATAGTTTTGACTCTTTGTCTCCTTTTAGACCCATCAATACCAACTGTCCATTTCAAAGTTCTATACTTTCACCGTGGTGCTTCTTCTGAATGCTGTAAGACCTGCCATATTTTTAGGGGCTTCTCTATCTTCAGGGGCTGGAGCGACAGCACAGCGGGTAGGGCATTCGCCTTACATGCGGCCTACCTGAGTTTGATTTCTCTGCCCCTCTTGGAGAGCCCAGAAATCTACCGAGAGTATCTCGCCCGCACGCACGGCAAAGCCTGGCAAGCTACCTGTGATGTATTTGATATGCCAAACACAGTAACAACAAGTCTTACAATGTTATTAGGACTGCTCAAGCAAATCAATGAACAATGGGAGGCCAGGACAGTGCTACAGTGCAGTGCTTGGAATGTTTAAAACTGGAAAAAAATGGTTACTAAAAGTTACCCCTTGATTCTTATGAAAAGCCACTCAGCTTCATAGTGTACATTTTTAAAAAACTGGGGCCTTACCCAGGGGCCTTCATCACTGAGTGATAAAGGTTGGGTGCCTGGTGGTGCTGGGGGCCATCAGAGTCAAGTCCCCAGGCACTGGGGGGTGGATGCAATGGGACTGCACTCAGGACTCCCTGCCTTCTAAGCTGTACTCTTAGCCCTGACAGTATATATTTTTAACTAGATTAAGCTCCTAAAGAGTGTGATACTAATTTAAACTTTACCATGAGAGATACTCTCTCTGGTTCAGAAGTAGAACTTGCCTGTATGTGTGAAGCCCAGAGTTTGACCTGAGACCCTGTCTCGCAAAAGCAACTCCGGGGCCAGAGATATAGGACAGGGGTTAGGGCACTTAATTGGCCTGCGCTGATCTGGTTTCTCCCTGGTACTGCAAAAGGTCCCCAAAGGACCTCCCGGAGCACAGAAACACGAGCAAGCCTTGAGCATAGCTGGGCGAGACTCAACACTATGTGGCCCTCAAAGTGAACTTTTATGGAGGAAGGGGTGGTCACACACAGCAGTGCTAGCAACTGACTGGGTGGGTGCACAGAAGGCAAGCTCTTTGTACTACCTCAGTCCCAAAGATGGCAATTTTTTTTTCTTTTTGGGTCACACCCGGCAATGCACAGGGGTTACTCCTGGCTCTACACTCAGGAATAACTCCTGGCAGTGCTCAGGGGACCATATGGGATGCTGGGAATCAAACTCAGGTCGGCCGTGTGCAAGGCAAATGCCCTACCCGCTGTTCTATTGCTCCAGCCCCGCCAAAGATGGCAACTTTTAAGACAATCAGGAAACAAGTGAAAAATACCTAAAGGTCACATTTTGGTTCATATAATACAATGATTTATTTCATCATAAGAATTAATTCTGGTAACCAAACCAACCAAAGTAGGTCTCAACATATCTCTACTACTTTTATCAATCACTGTATCTTATGTTCAAAACTCATATAATTATCCCTTTTATGAACAACTAATTCTAACTTCCAATAAATGTGCTTTGACTACAATATTAATAAGGAAGGCAAGGTTGACAATAATGATGGTGGTAAACTGAATGACTGAAATTTCAGTTCATAAAATTTATTTTTTTTAAAATTTTGCTGGGGATGAGGGGTGAGTATCCAGGTCACATCAAACATTGTTCAGGGATTACTCTTGGCTCTGTGCTCAGGGGTCACTTCTGGTGGTACTTGGAGAGCCCTGTTTGGTGCTGGAGATTTAGCCTGCGTGCAAGGCTTATCTTGTACTATCTCTCTAACCTCTTCATAAAATTTTTCTGATGTGACTTTCTATTTCGTTGGTTCTAGGGATTAACAGCATACGCCTATGATGTATATATTCCTATAGATGTATGCTATTAATCCTCAGAGACAAACAGAAAACTGGAAAAACAGTACACACTACTACTTTTGTTCATAGTGTTTTCATTAATCCACAACTATCTAACTTTGTTTACTTGTTTATAATTTCTTCTAACCTCACCCCCTGTAAGATGTATGCTCCAGGAATATAAGTACTTGTTTATAGTAGTGCTAAACTTCAGATTCTACAACAATGCCGGTAAATATATATCCTTGCTGTGGGGCTGGAGAGATGGTACAGCAGGTAGGGCTCTTGCCTTCCACGTAACTCCCGCCCCCGCCCCCAACAACTACACCAAAACATCCCACTTAAAACAAATCCTCACTGAAAAAAGGTTATTATAAGTTTCCATCTAAGGGGTTCCCTTGTATGCATTTTCATGCAAGGTCTCATTTCTCCTTTGCTCTTCTAATTCCATAAAGTGGGCTTCCCTAGAACTCTAATCTTTGTTTTCTAGTTACCTGAATTTTATCTCTTGGCAATCCTATTCTCCTGTCAAGCATCCTTATGGCATCCCTGTGAATAGTCTTAATAAGTACATACCTCTGCCCTCATAGCAGTTATTGGACTTCAGCTACACGTTATTCATTATTTTTTAAAGGAACATAGCTTTATTTAAAAAAAATTAAGTGTCTTCAAAAGTATACATGAGATAGCACCTTCCTAAACTTAACTTTTGTGTGTTATCAAATATATTTCAATGATATTTCAGAAATCAATTTTTAAAAAAAATGTTTTTAACCCTAATAGAAGATATCAAAGATACTGACTTTGAGGGAAAAAATTTCAGTAACTGTTCACCTACCCTGATAGTCAACCCATAATAATATTTAGATTTGAGCATTTGAAAATATTAGCAAAATATTTTTACCTTTCATTCCATATATCAGTTATATATATTATTTCCATCTTAAATCTACTGCCAACTTTGCGGCATACCCTAAGCCCTAGCTCCTAAGCTTCCCATCCTGGTCCCTTTCCTTCAGTACTGCCAATCTCCTGGCCTTAAAGGAACTAAAAATGCTTCTGGGACAGGTGCACATCATTCTCATTGCCATGATGATATTCAATTGGGGATGTGGCTTAGTAGTTGAGTGTATACCTTGCATATTATACGAGGCCCTGGGTTCAATTCCCAGCATTTCTAACAACAATTAAACCAAAAACTGTAGCACTGTCGCACTGCCCTCCCATTGTTCATCAATTTGCTCGAGCAGGGCCAGTAACGTCTCCATTGTGACACTTGTTACTGTGTTTGGCATATTGAATATGTCATGGGTAGCTTGCCAGGCTCTGCTGTGTGGGCAAGATACTTTCTGTAGCTTGCTGGGCTCTCCAAGAGGGGTGGAGGAACCTAACTGGGCTTGGCCAGGATGGCTGTGGGCAAGGCAAACGCCCTACTGCTGTGCTATGGCTCCATCCA